AGGGTATGTTTGGTTTGTGTTTGAGAGATGTGTTTTAGAGATAAAAAGTACGAAAACATGTTTGGTTTGGTTTTTTTCAAAAGATGTTTTGGAAAATTATTTTGAGAGAGAGTTTTGGAAAAAGTGATTGATTTGATGTGTGTGAGAGAGAGATTTGTTTGGAAAACTTGTTTGGTTTACAAGTTTTGAGAAATTTTTTTGGAAAAATTTGTTTGGTTTGATTACTTTTAAAAACTTATTTGTAGAGAAAATTTCCTAAAAATTTTTCAGAAACACAAACCAAACGAACCCTTTGTTTTTTGTTATGTGTTCTTCTTTCTATTGTACATACAAAAAATTAAGGCAATAAGTAGTAGTTAGAGGGGACAGAATAAAGAGAAATAAATAAGAATTTATTTTTTGAACAAATAAAATAAAAAATTTAATAAATTTTGTAAACTATTCATAATATCAACGACCAAACAATTTTATAAACATAAATAGAAAACTATAAACCTTCATAAAAAAAAAAAAAAAAAAAAAATGTCATATGAAATTATGGTTTTTTTTTTGGTATGAATTTCATATTCATATATAAATAAAGTTTTGGTTTACAACTACGAGCATTTGAATCTACTTGTACTACTTGCTACTGGAATTTCTATTCTTCCATTTCTTTGATTAACGCTTCATAGATAGTTTGGTTTCATTTGCAAATCAATTTTTTTAAAATAAAAAATTAATTTAATAAAAAAAAATAAAAAGTTAATTTTTTTCATATTATTTTCTCTTTTTGGAAAGAAAACAAATTCAATTTTTTTTTTTTTTTTTGATGTTTATTTTATAAATATACCAAAGAAGATATTTTAAATTTTTAAAAATTATTTCAGCGCCAAAAAAGAGAATCCATATAAAAATAATTAGTTTATTAATGTTTTCATGAATCTTATTTTTTTTAAAAAGAAAACAAAGTCTAAAAACTCAGCCAAACATATGAGCTTTAAATCAACTCTATCAGCTCCACATACATTTTCCTAGAGGCCATACCCATCTTTTTATACCTGCGACTCTCAGGACCGCACTTCCTCATTCTGGAGGTTACACATAATTTACTGCAATTGAATTTTACATTAACAAATACAAATACTTGAAATTTGCATAATGAAAATTTTAAAAAATAAAATAAAATTTGACATTCAAACTATATGATATTTCATATCTTTCATCGTACAAATCGGGCAGGGTTGATGTATTAGGAACTGTGGGAAGGGGGGTTAGAAAATAAGAGTTCATGATCTGAATTATATAACTTAGCTTCTTCTATTCTTCTTGGTAGATGTTATGTTATGTACAGCTTCAACTACTAGCATTTTGCATTAACAAATATGTACAATAAATCACTGATAAAAAGCTTAATATTACGTCCTTTTTACTTCCAAACCTTGATGGCCCCATCTCTACTGCTAGATATCAGAAGTCGCTGGTTCAGCTTTACAGATGCCAAAGAGAGAACCGAGTCACGATGACAACCAGCTGAATCAGTAGCAGCCGCTGCTAGAACTGCCTTTGCAGTCAACTTCGTTGCCAGAGGTCGCCTCTTCGTTTCCTGTTTGGAGAAAAGAAGAATATTCAAATTTCAGTCCTACAAACTCTGATCGCTTTAATTATGCAAATTCAGTTGACGGGAAAGAAGAAAGTTCATGTCAAGCCCCCAACCAAAAACTGCCCTTAACAAAACAAAAAAAAAAAAAAACCCACCCAAGTACCACAAAAAAAAAAAAAAAAAAAAAACCCACCCAAGTACCACAAATATGGACACGCAACACATTGACACGATGATTTTCAAAAAAAGTAGGAGACAATATGCTTGGGATACATTACGAATCTATATTTTTATAATTTATAACATGTTGAAGATATGAATAAACTTATCCATATCTTATCCAAAAGTAGTGTGTTGGAGGGGGAACTCTATTTGGTTTCAGTTTTTAGAATTCACTTTTTACAAAATTCTACTTTTTCATTTATCGTATTTTTTTTTGTTTTCACTGAATTTTTTTAATATTTTAAACAATTTTTAAAATTTTTAGACATACTTAACATAAATACACTTAAAAAGTATAATATTTGTGAAAAAATTCACTAAATAACAAAAACACAAAAATACAAAAAATACGAAAATTCAATACATCTTTCATATTTTTGTTTATTTATTAATTTTTTTTAAAAAAATTTACAAATATTTTACTATTTAGATATATCTAAGTAAGGTGCATCTAAAAAAGTTTTAAAAAAAAAAAAAAATTGATTAAAATTTTAAAAATATTCACTAAAAATAAAATAAAATAAAACACAAAAAACAAAAAAATTAATTTCCAGAAAATTGAAACCAAACACACTGATGTAACTCTAATTAAAATGCCATATATTTTACAACTTAAGCATCAAGATATTATTCACATAACAATTGTAGAACATTGAAATATCTTATAAATGTTTCAAAATATATTTAGAGTGCACAAATTGCATTCCGAATAATGCAAAACATTGCTATTATGAAAAAGATTCATCACATAGATCTTGTTCGAAGAGTTCAAGAAGTGTTGTTGAAGTGTCCAAAAAGTGTCAGTAAAGTATTCGATATTATGGATTTAAATTTTTAATTAAAACATGTTGAAGAAGTGTCGGACACTTTTAGTAGTGTCAAAGTGTCATGTCCAACACAAGTGTCCGATATGACACGCTTACCTTCTCCACAGAACTGTCCGTGCGTCTTAGCCACCCATTCAAAAGAACTACAACAAGAATTGGGAAATTTTCTCCAGCAAAATGATTTCTTTCTAAATTGTGCACTAGAATAATCAATGTACCCAATTGATTGCCAAAGTAAAAACTTCATGAAAACAGAATGCAAGGTAAAAAATTACAAGGCAGTAAAGATCTTGAAAAGACTCAGCCTTAAGTTGGAGCAAGGCATACCGATTACTAGGGTTTCCATCAAACAAATGTATGACTTAAGCAACAATGGCCGTATACAATTAGATACAAGTCAGTAAACCAAATGCATAAATTCTATGATTACAAACATCTAGGCACTAAGCATGTTATCCAAACAAATAGGTATATATGCACATGTATGAGAGAAAGAAACAGCAGTTCACTAGTTCTTTTCCACAATTATCAAAAAAAGGGCCATCACTTCAAAAAAAAAAAATGGCTGCTCAGATGGAAAGTGCACACTTCCTAAAGTAATTTCTACAGGGTTTGGACTGTTAATCCATCCTAGTGTAAATTTAAAAAAAAAAAATGGATGTATTACCATCACAACAAGAGTAGAAAAAATAGTAATTAGAAGGGGGGGAAACTTGTGCTTGAATTATTGGACATACCTGCACGACTTGCACCCCAAAACTAGATTTTGTTTCGTAGAAATCATCATTTCCAACTCCCTTTACAGAAGGGCCACAAACACAATAACTCCTGTCAGGGCTGCAACATAGAAGCCCAAGGCCAATTAGACAAAAGAAAAATTATGAGATGAACAAATGAGGGGAGGGGGGAAAAAAAGGAAAAGTAATCAAAACCTGCAATGATCCCAGCGACGTATCTTCAAGTCGGTACCACCAGTTAACAAATCTCCCCCGGGCAAGGGGAGCAATGAGCGAATACCAGGAAGACTCGGAGAAGGTTCATTCAGTTCATCAACTCTGTACTTTGGATTGACATTCCGTCTTAGATCTGGTTTGGAACTTGATTTACTGGATGGTCTGGTCAAGGCACAAGGAAGATCTGAGAATTCAGCATCACTATCATTACTCACCACCCTCAATACCTGCGAACAACAGAAATCAATGAAAACATGAAATCACCAACAGGGAACTGATCAAAAAAAGCGAAGTTTATGAATGATGCAAAATGCATCAATCCAAATATTGGAATTTTAACATGAATCTATTCATTAATTAAAACACCTTTGCTAGTAGGCAAGCACTTCTAAGTCTATCATTTAATCATTTGTTTCTTCCATACTTCAACATATTCCAGATAAAATACCACATATAAATAATAGGCAAAAGATTGAAACCCCTAAAAAGCCTCCCGTAGTTTTACCCACAATGACATGGCAGTTTATGTATCAACTTTTGATTTGTCACAAAATAAACCATGCAAGGACCAACTCCCTTGTCATGTCATACTGGGAATTGTGGGTTCTAAATTGTGGGTCCTAAATTGTGAGTCTCTAGCATTCCTCATCCATATAATATAATAACTTTTATTTAAAATCCATAAATCCAGCATGTCACTATTCAATTTTCTATAGGAGTCTAAACCATCCAATGCTCTGTGTTAAGAACTGAATCTAGTACTTTCCTTTCTTTTTCCACAAATGCCCCTCCTCCAAACATAAGCACTCAATTCCTACGAGGTCATCATAGAACATCTTTTGTGCATTTCCAGATCATATCAGACAGCTCTACCCCATTGTATACCTATATCTATAAGGATTTCATAAGAAACTCCAATCTATCCATACAACAAATAAAAATCATGATTTACATGAATACAGAGTTTTTACAGCAAATAACCAAAAAAACAATTGTCATGCACCTGGTGGCAGCTTCCGTTTTCTGCATTCCAAAGGGAAACTTCATTACAACCTGCTGCAACATAAACAAGGGGCCTTGCAGCAGTGGATATAGCAGTGTTTGAAGGCAGAAGAAAAAGACACAATTTCTCTATAGGGCATGCAACAGAATACTGCCACGAGTGGACAGGTAGACAAAACCTCAGATCCCAAAGCGTAAGCACACCCCTTGAAGATCCGGACACAAACCAATTCCCACAAGGGCCTGTCACCAGAGAAGAAACATAGCCCTCCTCGGGATTTACCTTTGAATTCCATACATTAGAATTTGTTATCGGATCCCAAAGATGGATCCCACAGTTTTGGGTGCTGTACATAATCATTTGCCTGGAATCAACATCTGCTGAGTAGTTTAAAAGGCTGAGTATGGCACCTTCATCAACATTCTTTTTCTTGACATCGGCAATTCCTGTATACTTCTCAACAACATTGCCCAGTCCCCTGGAGATATAATCAACAGAGAACATGTGTATCGTGCCATCACAAGCTCCAACGACAACTTGAGCAGAGCCCTGGAGCATCGCAGCACATAGTGCTTGGCTTCCCTCCAGGGAATAAGTTAGCCTTGACCTAAATGAGATGTCTTTCTCCAACTTTCTGGAATCCCACACCTTGACAGTGGAATCATCAGACGCACTTACAAAAAAGCTGTGATCGGTAGAAATGGCAATGTCATTAACAGCAGAACGGTGCTCCTGAAGGTGTGCAACCAACACCCCTCGTGGCCTCCACCCTGAATCTGGGATCGATGACCCTCGTGTGAAAGATGGCAATCCCGTTACATCATTTGGAGTAGGGGCATCTTCCGCTGTAATGGGACTCCCTTTCATTGTGCTAGACATACCCAGGTCTTGAAACTTGCTGTTGACATAGGCTGTTTGATCACTTTCCCTGCCTTCTGCCTCATGCACCACTCTGTGGAACTGCTTAGAACCATTATTAATGCTGAATGAGCCTGAGACAAGTTTAGGCGCTGGAACCGAATTAGCCAAGCCTAATGATTTATTTACTGGATCCATCCAAGGCGTGGATGATGAACCAAATCCAAAAGTGTTGAACTGTAACGAGGAGTCAGAGGCTGGTGGAGCAATTGTCACGGCTCGTTTATCCTTCTTGAAGTAGTACAAAGGTATGCCATCTGATGATTTATCACAAATTAAGCTGTTCAAACCGTTAACCTGTGGAGACATAAAGCTAGAGAACTGTAATTTTTCTGAGCAAAGAGAATCATGACTGTCAACTGCATCAGAAGCATTGCGCAAAAAGCTACCCATAGCACTAATTCTAGCATCCCCATCATCACATTCACTTGGATCCAGTGGTTCCATTCCATTGCCAACAGGTCTGTGACCCTGAACATCATGTGGCCTGTCAGACCATCCCTTCATTGGATTTAACTCCCCAACTTTGGGTTGTGCTGATGAATTGTACCATATCTTCCTCTGTCTCTCTAACATGTCTGAACTTCTTGCATTTTCTAAGACTTCATAGAATACCTGTCTTGAGACAGGAGGGTTTAGACATGAAAGAAGAGCCTTTTCTGAAGCTAGAGATACTGGTTGTCTGCGAAGGAATGGGCGTATAATTGGGACCAGGAAAACATACGAATCTACTGCACCTAAACTCTCACTACTAGCTGCAATAAAGGTGACAGCTGACCTCCTTACCCACTGACAGGGATAACACAACAATGGAAAAGCACGCTCTATCATTTCAAGCAGTATCCTCTTCCGCAGGAAACCATTCTTGCACAGAATGGCCAAGCAATCCAATGCGTTCACAATTACAGCCTCTGATGCATCACTTAAAGCCTGTTCAATGTAAGGCAGAAGATACTCCTCTACACTTCTTTGGCCCACAAAGAAGCAGACATAAATAATCTGTCCATAAAATACAGCTCTTAACTGCTCATCTCGATCATTCAGAAAAGCAGGGAGGATGGGCAACAAAAAGTCATTACTCTGTCTCTGGCCAAAGAACCAACATAGGTTGCCAATATCCTGCAAGAGTGCTCTCCTGATATTTGGAGATTGCTTTGGGCCCATTACAAGTTCTTGAATGACCTCAGCTATGGACTTCCTCAACCGTGCAAGCTGTGCATCACTGTTCAGACTCTGCAACCGTCCAGAAGTCTCAGTAGATGGGGCGAATGACTTCTGAGGCGAATTTGATTCATTGAGAACACCTGCCTCACTCAGGCTTATTGAGTGAATCAAAAACCCATAAGCAGTTAGCGCCAGCTTAGATACATTGCTGGCATAACATATTCTCACACTTTCCTCCGGATCATCAGGAAGCATGGAAAGCATTGGAAGAATATACTCTGGAAAAATTTTAGCATCACTAGGAGGAAAATCTCGGACTAAAGGCAGAATGTCACACAAAGTCTCCAAGGCAGCACAACGCACAATTGCTGCTGGATCGGAAAGCATTGCAACAACATATGGAAGCACACGCTGCAATCGATCTTCATCATCAATATATAAGGAGCAAGACTTCAGTAAAAGTATAGCCCCCCTCCTCAAATGGGACAACCTGACATTGCGTATGCAGGAACACAGCAGTGATGCAATGAGAACCATACCTTCGCAGCTCACACTGTCCAGGGGTAACGGTAAGAAAGGCATTCCGTAAGTGTCTGATTGATTGTCATAATCTGACATCAACGAGTGTAACTCATTCATTGTAACCTTTTTCAGAAAGGGGTGGTGATTTCTTTTAAACACATTGGAGATAGTTTGCAATAGCTCACCAGGAGACTGCAAGCCACACTGTTTGCAATTTTGAGAATATGCAGAACTGGCTACATCCTCCAGCATTGGTTTCACACTGGAATATCGATAACTTTGTTTCACGTCCCGTAGTAGATTATTGATATCACCGAGAAGTTCAAGACGATCATCAACTGAGCCCTTTTCTACCTCTTCCTTTTTTCTCAAAGAATCCTCTGTCAAATCAAAGCCTTGCTTTGTATCCATCTGTTGTGATGATTGGCCACCTATAGTGTTTGATTGTGTGCCAACTCCAATTCCTGTCTCCTCATTGGACCTATTGTTCATCATTTGTTTATGTATCTCCTGGAAAACAGTCTGGCACATCACAACCTGCAGCAGAAATTAGAAATGCTGAGATTTATTGTCTGAGTCAAAAAAAGATTGCTGGTCTGAATAGATAAAACTATAAAAGGTCCATACCCTTGTATCAGAATCAAGTGGGTTCAAGCAGGAATAGAAATTATGCAGAAACGGTGAGAAGTAACTCGGAAATACTACACTTGCATAGCTTTGAAGGTAGCTTTCAGCAGAAAATCGTAACTCAGGGTCCAACTGAATCATGTGAATAATCATCTTACGGATACCTGAATCTGGGATCTGCATGCAACAGACATACCATTTGACAATATGATCAATAGGCATGAATAAAGATCAAGGTGAAAGTTGAGATAATATTTGAACAAATTCTGGAAGAGTTCTATTAGTATATATGACACATTAGTTAATAAGAAAAGATGATAAAATTTATTAGTTTGTATAAAAAAATTTCAAATACAATAATGGCAATGAAGAAAATGAAATTATTCTTGAGAAAAATGTATTTATAGATTGCTTTAATTATGCATGTGTATCTTGGTGATCCAAAGAACTCAAGGCTAAGCTATAAGACAAGGTATAATAGGAGAGTACCTTCTCAAGATTTTGGCTAGGATCATACTGCCCTCTTCGATAAGCAAGAAGCTGGGATAGTTCAAAAAGAGGCTGACCCTCGAGAAAAAGCTCCGCAATTACACACCTAAAGAAGCAATGTGAAACAAAACAAATTATAACACCCAGACATATGTATAAAAATAATGTTGGATGAGAAAGTTAGGAAACTACCACAACCACAAAGATTGTTTAAATATCAATAGCTACAGTATGAAATATCACATCATGCATCAATAACTTATGCATACATGTGCAAAAATAGGCCAAACATGTGGAACACTAAATGCATCCCATTGCAGAGAAACAAACATATGTGGTGAGTCAGATTCTTTGGTTTTGGCATAAGATAATAAGTAATGGGTAATGTTATACAAATAGAAATTCCATACGCAAAAAATCCATATATATAGAATGATGCGGTTTTGTGTGGTCCTCTCATTTCAAGCCCAATTACCGATCTTTGTGGCTCGGAATTGCAAAAATGTCACTGCCACATCATTCCATATGGATTTATGCACAAAAATTATGTTTGCAAATCATTTCCCATAAGTAAACACGGCGATGGCAGTGGAATTGACGGTTGAAGGAATGATGGACACGGAATGATGGCAAAGGAGGTAATAATAGCCCACAAAAGTAGCCATTATGATGGTGATCGTGGGGCAGGAACCTTGTAAATTAATTTGTCACAAGTATTTTAAGGAATTGATCTATATAGTACCAATTGGGCTGCACAAAACTATCTACTATTTTGTGATTCAAAATAGTAACTGATAGCATATGGCTGGCAGTAAGATTTGCTCATTTTCACAAAAATACATATCTTACTCAACGCCAATAACCAAAACAAATACATTTGCCAATTTTAACGTATCTGTTGATATCAACAAGAAAACAATCAAAGGTAAAATCCTCCTTCCAAGATATTCTAATTCCAGAAACTGCTCACCCTACAGCAAAGATGTCCATAGATGGCTTTAGTGGTGCATCTTGAGCAACTTGCATCTCACCTCCATGTTCATAGAATCTCTGAAAATTAATAACAATAAAAGTATTATTTTCTATGTAATCATCATACTCTAGAAGTAAAATTCAATGATTATTGATTACAGATAACTAGAAGCAATTAAAACTGTAATAGATGACTACTAAAATAAAAGATTACAAAAAGGCAAACAAGTGTTGTAAAACACCATCCAGTCATCTAGTATCTAGATTGCAACGTGTTTATTAATTATTACATACGTCGTCCTAAGGATCACATGAGGAATGTACTCCATAACTTTACTTGATCCGAAAGGTCAACTCTACTGAATAAAAAGCTCCCAAATGATTAATCAAATTTAATTCTCCCTCACCATTACTCAAATCAAATGTGCTCAAATCTAGTTCATTTATCCAAACATACAAGACAGGTGCGGCATTTTTAGAAAATTGGTATGAAAGTCAAAACTGTGCCTGCATTAATAGAAAACTGACCACCCCACTGATAATGCAGATTCACAAGATTAAAAGAGTACTTAATAAACTATGAAGAAATAGCACTGCTGCAAAATTTCTATTTCAGCCACCTAGCCAACCTAAAGAGTTGTAATCAAATTCTGACAGAATCAGACCCACTGAGGATAGCTTCACTAGCCAAAAGGATTGCACTGATAATCTGTGCGTGGTGAGTAGGTGACTGTAGCAGACATAACTTAAAAGGATTATGCCACAGTGATATTTCTGTACATCCTCACCAAGCAATTCCATATAGAATCTTGGTGAAAAAAATAACATTTTCTCTAGGGACATAAATGGCATCAGTACACACATGTATTACACCAATCAATTGGAACTCCCGGTATAAGTGCAATTGTGAATGGTTTCAACTTAATGACTAAATGAAGAATTTTAAACCTGTACCTTTAGCAATTAATGGCCTAAAGGTGGCATTAGTGCACTTACTAGCCATAGCAGTCAATTAGAACTCCTGGCAGCAGTGCAGGAACTGCAGTTCAGGTAGTTTACACTTATTCCGCATCAAAAATATTTTTTTGATTTCATGGTTCGTATTTAGCATAAAAAATAACCAATTCTTTTATTGCCAGGCTACAAAGTGCTTTGGAAGAAAGGTCCTTAATAAAAGCCTTCAATTTTGCTCATTTTTTAAGTTTTTCATTTAAAAATTAAAACATGATGACAGATAAGAAACTAAAATCCATAAATAAATAACATAAAATAAAATGTGAAAAGGGACCAACCTCGGGAGCAAGATAACAACGCCTTCTTCCGCCAGTGTCAAAGAAAAATGAGAAATCGGAGGGGTCATCATGGGGAATATAAGTAGGTTTGAAAGATGCAAAGTCAGCAAGGTAAAGCCAATTCCATGAAGTGACAAGCACATTCTCGCATTTAATATCACCTGGAATATTTCATAATAAAAAATTAAAAAAAAAATCACAGAAATCAATTTAGTATTGGGTGATGATGGTAAAATTAGTGCACTGAATGAGTGAGCTCACCATGACAAACTCCATGCTCGTGGCTTTGCTTCACTGCATACAATAGCTGCACAACCACCAAAACATAAAATGCTAAGTATATCTACACCAATTAAATTTAAAAATGAGAGAGAGAGAGAGAGAGAGAGAGACCTGAAAAGCCAGCCATTTCTTTTCAACAATACTGAGAAAAGGCCGAGTACTCAACCGGTCATGAAGATTATTGAGGAAGTATTGCCTCAACAGATAAGCAGCTTTATCTGTTTCAAGCCAAATCTGTAATATTCACAACATAAGAACATTGGACAATTAAAGTTGCCAAAATAGAAATGAAAAGTGAACAATTTTGCTTCATTTTGATCCCAATAAAACACAGGAAAAAATACATTTTTCCACTGAATTATATATATAAAAAATAATTGGCTTAACAAATTATCTATTGAGCATGAAAAAGATTCAACAAAAGACCATATCGGCAAGAATATTAGGGTTTCCATAAGGTTTTATTGATGAGATTGATATTCAAATATTTCTTCTTAGAACGTGTTGAGAATCAAAAGCATCCAGCAGCGCCATGCTGGTAGAAAGAGTAAACCTACTAAGCTAAGCTGCTGTTGGGGAAGGTATAGTTCTATTTCTCGACGAACGCAAAGAAGGGATATCAAAATGAATCCAACAAACCCATCATTTACCTATTGTCAGAGATAAATAATAATTAACTAGATTTTGTATTATTATATATTATTTTATAATTCTTAACTAAATGAGATTATTCAAGAATACACATTGAATGCTGAGATTAAATTAAAATGGGGTGTGGCCAAGTCGTAAGGCAATGGGTTTTGGTCCCATTATTCAGAGGTTCGTATTGCTCCACCTATAAGTAGAACGAAAAGAAGTAAATGGAAATGGAACAGGGGGAGCCAGAAGCTTCACTTCCAGTAGCTTGCTTACTCTCCTAGTTAGAAAAAGGCTCTTTGGTGGATTTTATTATCTTGAACTAAGGCAAATACATTACTAGATTGAGTTGAATTCCAAATTTCAATACCTTTGATTTTCCAATGTTTTCAAGGCAACCAAACCACAATAATTCGACTTCATTATGCTAAATATTACTATCAAGCTGAGAAAACTGAATATATCAAATTCCTCAGCTTCCAATTACCAAATAATTTAAACTTTAAAACAGCAATTCCTTCCCTTTTCCTATTTTTTGTTTTTTTGTTTTTCCTTTCTCAGCAACCAAACAAAGTCACCTTAGTTAGGGATTCACTACTACTGCTATAACAATTTGAATAAGATAAAGCTTGGGTATTGGGACCTGAATATTTAAAACTTAAAATTATAACAATAATTATATTTCATTAGGCTAAATATTAGTATTAAGATGAGAAAACTGATAATCTCAAAATTCCACAACTCCCAATTACCAAACAATTTAAAACTTAAAACCTAAATTCCCTTCCTTTTCCTAATTTTTTTTTGGAAAATTTAGTCAAAGCCCCTCCATTGGACCCTTGTTTGGTAAAAATGACAACCTAATTTATTTTTCTTAATAAACCCCCTAACGAGAAAACACAAAATTGAGTAAGGACAAAGTAAAATATATTTTTTTTTTTCTTTTTTAGACAATATTGTCAGAGTAACATGTTACTGTTACAGTTTACATCAATTTCAACGGTAATAAATTTTTTTTTAAAAAAAATTGCATAGTCAATATGGATCTTATTTGATAGATCTTGATGAAAGAATTCTAAAAATATTAATTTTATTAAAAACCGACATCTATATCAAAAGTTATATTATTTCAAAGTTTAATATTTTGATAACAGTGACATTTGTTGGACTTTTCAAGGAAAACCTTTTGTACTTATCCTTAATACATTAAAATTTTATTATGAGAGGGTTTTGACCAAATCCCTCATTTTTTTTTTTTCTCAGCAACCAAACAAAGCCAGTTCATTTAGGGATATACTACTAGAACTATAACAATTTGAACCTTTGATTTTCCAACATTTTCTCTGCAACCAAACGGCAATAATTCCAAGCTCATGAGGCTAAATATTAATATTAAGCTGAGAAAACTAAAAAATTCAAGTTCCTCAACTTCCAATTACTACATAATTTATACTTAAACCCGCAAATCCCACCCTTTACCTAAGTTTTTTTTTTTTTTTTTTTTTACCCCTCAGCCAAAAAACAAAGACGGTTCATTTAGGGATTTACTACTATAACTACAACAATTTAAACCTTTGATTTTCCAATATTTTATCCGCAACCAAACTGCAATAATTCTATTTCAATAGGCTAAATATTAATATTGAGCTAATTTTCAAATTCCATCATACAATTACCGAACAATTTAAAACTTAAAACCACAATTATCTCCCTTTTTCCTAATTTTTCTTTCCTTTTCTTTTTTCTTGGCAACCAAACAAAGCCAGCTCAGTTAGGGATTTAGTAAAACACCATAACCACAACAAATAAGAGAAAGATTGGGAATTGGGACCTGGAAAGGCCAGCAATTGGGGTGGTCGAGTTCACGGAAGATCTATTGGTCAACCAAACGACAATAATTCTACTTCATTAGACAATATTAAAATTAAGCTGAGAAAACTGAAAATTTCAAACTCCTCAGCTTCCAATTACCAAATAACTTGAACTTAAAACCGCAATTCCCACCATTTTCCTTTTTATTTTTCTTTTTTTTACCTTTTTGTTTTTTTCTTCTCAGCAACCAAACAAGGCAAATTCAGTTAGGGATTCACTACTATCATATCACCATAACCATAACAATTCGAATGAGATTAAGAATGGGGAATAGAGACCTGGAAAGGCCAGCAATGGGGGTGCTCGAGTCCGCGAAAGATCTCGCGGATTTGGGAGAGTCGTCGCTCGTAGTCTCGAAGATCGATCGAGTCTCCTCGCTTGAAATAGACCTTGACGAGGACAAGCCCTTCGTCATGCTTACACTGTATCGATTTCAAGAAGCGTCCTCTTCCCAAAACCTCCTTCAGCACCAAATTGTACGACGAAGGTAGATCATGGAGGTAGTACTCCGTCGCCGAAGCTTGCGTCGTTCGAGCGATCTTATTCCCCATACTCACTCTCTCTAAAATTCTCTCTGTATCGAACTATGAAATTAGAGGGTTTGGGGTTGAGATTTTTCGCCGGAGAGAGGGCGAAGCAGCCCTAGCAAGAAGGCAGCCATCATCGGAGTCGTCTGCAAAGAGACTTGTTCGATAGTTTTATGTTTAGTTATATTACATTGACAACCCCTGAGATTTGCCTTTAATACGATTTGCCTCTTGACATTTTAAAAATTACACTGAACACCCCCTCTTTCGCTGTTTGTCTTAGGGGGTATACACGGTCTGGATTGATTTGATTCTGAAAAAATCCAAGAACTGAACCGATCCTAAGGGTTCTGTGATTTTGAGAACCAGACCAAACCACTACACTTGTAAAATCAGACCAGAACGAAATCGAAATAACGGTTCGGTTTCGGTTTGGTTCACCGTTTCAAAAATTTCTATTTATAAGAATAAATTATTAATATTAGCAAAATAATTACTCAAACTAATTACATTTAACTCACGATAAAAACTAATAATATTAAAGTATTACTCAACATTACATATCTATATCATCCTAATATCATTAAAATTACAAAAAACCAATTAATAAAAATAAAACTTGATTATATATATATATATATATATCTTTTAAATTTTGGTTTGGTTCGGTTCGAACCGTGATTTTTTCATAAAATTCATTAACCGAACCGTTTTTATGGTTCTCATATTTCTTAAACCAAAACCGAACTAATTCTTAATAGAACCAAAACCAAACCGTACGATTCGGTCTAGTTCGGTCCAGATTATCGATTTGAACGGATTTGTGAACAGCCCTAGTTTGTCTCTTGATGATGTTAACATAAAAATTAAAATTATTTTATTACCCTTACCTATTTCATATTCTCTACCCTTTTTACTCCTCTACTTAACCATATACAAATTTTATTTACATCATCGCATCCTCGGAACCAACCTAGAATATAGCGATAAAAGTAGGTTACAGAGATCGTTGACAACCGTGTCTATTGAACCAACCAATTTTTACCGTATAACACCATTGTATCAGTAAAGCACACTTATTCGGGAAATTATTTAATAATCCCGGAACACCACGTAGTCATACTCCAAGTCAATCACCAATTACTTAGCTCATGTTGTTCTCCATCTTCAACATAAATCGTGGGCCCTTGTCCTTCTCTACTAATTAAAACCTTATAGAGTACCACATGTCCATACTCCAGGAATGCTAAATAATCACCCTACTTATTCTATCTTCCATCAGCTTTCAAACTTAAACCATAATCAACAACCATCATTAATGCCATCAACAAAGCTAGAAACTACCCAACTTAATCAACGGAACACAGATTTTTCATAGAATACTACATTTGTTTGATGGTCGTAGGTGAATGATGGTAGCGGAATTGCAAGATATTGACAATGTATGGGTAATGTTGGTGGTTTGATGTAGGTAAAATAGATAGTGGAAACGGTAGTGTCGTCTAGATTAAAAATAGATAGAAGAAATCGTTTGTTTTGTTGAATGAGGTTGATGGTAAGTATGCAAACCAAGTGATTGATGAAAGTCCTCATTGGTTTTGGGAGTTGAGGGAAAGGATAAGATATACATAGTGATGATGATAGTGGCTAGACTTTTAGTGTAGATAAAGAAGCCTTCAACCACTCTCTCTCTCTTTCTCTCTCAATTATCACACAATTTGGCATTGGTACATTACCATATAAAACCACTTCATGCCACACAATTCAACTGTAACGCCCTCAAAATAATACATAATACCCAACATTTTAGACATGCATTGATACAAGAGAAATCAACCATTTCTATTCATCAGAGTAATTCTTACAACTATATTACATGTTAACAACAAAAGCAGGTGCCCTATGGGCTTATAGCTTTCCAAATTAACACTTGGATACAAAAAGGGAAGAGTGCTAACTCAATACACATTAAGCCCTTGACTTGAATTTACATGTAATACATCAAAATAAACAAAAAAAGAGTCTTCAACTCTCATCATCATCCAAGTTATGTCCTTGGAGGTGGTATACTGCCTGTACCTGAAAATAAAGTCCCATAAAGGGTGAGCCAACGCCTAGTAGAGGTATGCTAAACACAGTATGAGCAATGACTAAGATATTAGCAATTGATAAATGTTCAGTTTCTATAAACCAATTCATAACCCATTTCCATTTCATTTCAGTTTCCATTTCTTATTAACTTCACAATTTACATCAACGGCTCAGAACCTGGCCAACCACTTATATGAGACAATAACTCATATTAAACATTTCCCATTTTTACAATAGATAAACATACTAGTTGTATCAACATCTCAACAGATAAGCATACAAGCTGTATCCACATTTCAACAGATATGCATATTAGCTATATCAACACTTCCAATGACAAGCATATGAGCTGTATCAACCCTTCCAAAGATAAGCATATGAGCTATATCGACACATTATCTGACAAGCATATGAGCTGTATCAGTGGAGTCCATCTCCTATCTCCTTCAAACAACATCCGGTTTAGAGGTCCATCCACTATCATCCCCTAAACCGTGGAGTACATTCCCTATCTCATCCCCTACACACACCATGTATATTCACACAGGTCATATACACAATCAATCAATACATAACGTTAATGTATTCTATCAACCGTCATACTCTATGACATATCCAATTTATTAGTTTTAGTTTGCCTAATCATTATGCATTGTCTACAACAATCAAAACTACCCTTCACCGGTAGCCCAAGCAATTATTTCTAAACAGATAATAAAAACTCCAACAGTTAAAATATCAATGTTTTCAAAAGTGAGCGATTTATAAATCCAACTCCATCATTTCACAACATAATGAGCCAATTTCATTATTTCCAACCCATTTCCATAAGTCCACAATTTTCCCCATATTAATTATACCAATTAATTTATTCAACGAATTAGGGTTTTCTACCTCATTTCCCAATATTGACCCAATGGTCTATATAACAACAACCAACAACAACATCATTATTTTGAAACCCAAAACACATGTTATGAGCCAAAAATCACAAAACCCTCTTTAACATATTTTGAAACCCTAAGTCCCAAAATTTCCCAACTCAACATGTTATCAAAACAACTAAAAATCTAGGTCAGAGACCATAAGAGTGAGTAGGAACCCCTACCTCAAAAGATGACACCTAACGAAGAAGATGGTGAAAATGAAATTGCTCCAAACCACGAGTTTCTCGGATCAAAAGATAGCCCTCGACGATCAACAACCTTTTTGTAAAGGCCAAAGGTGAGGAAACAACTCTTATTAGATCAATATCTAGAGAGAAAGCAAGGTTTTAGAGAGAGAGGCTCTCAAATGGCTTTTTCAGAAAAGTAAGAGAGAGAAAGGATGAGAAAAAGTGATTTAAAACTGCCTCACAGCCAACTGATATACGACACTCCCGCTCGAGCGGAGAACACAATGCTTGAGCATCAAGAACAAAAATCTGGACACGCTCGAGTGCAAGAAGGCCCGCTCGAGCGCCAAGACACAAGAATAAAGTACATCCGCTCAAGCGCGAAAACCAGTCCGCTCGAGCATAGATTTCCCCCTCCCAGAACTTACACCGAAAAGGTACTACTCGCTCGAGCGCCACCGCTCAAGCGTAAAGAAACCCGCTCGAGCGTAGAAATCACACCTGCAGAAGTTTTGCAGGGACACGAAATACTGGGGGTGTGCAATCCCCGCTCGAGCACAAGAAGACCTGCTCGAGCGGACCGCCTAAAAACTGGGCAATAAGGAATTGAAACCAATGCCTAATCAACCTGTAACAACCCTGCCCAAAACATCCTAAAACTCAATCAAGCGGAATTAAAGGACGACAACAAGATAGATACAACTACCAACTTCACGGAACCGAGTCCGGAATACAACAGAACAGTAAAGGGACAACCGGGATTGCTATATCAACCCTATTAGCGTCTCAATCACCTCCATTATTGATCATCGGTTCACCACTACATAATAGAAGTGTTAGGTTATACGCTAAGGATAATATTGATATTTTAAAAATTTTAATTGGTGGCATAAGCAAAAAACTGTTAATTGATATAATAGTTAACTAATAAAGGAAAGAATTTGTAATGCAACCCTAAACCTTAAGGAGAGAATATAATTTTCAAAACATGAATGAAAAATTTGTATTAAAGACAAACCACAGAGGTATAGTGCCATAATGACATTTACCCACAAAAATATAATACTATAATATAATTTGAAAATTAAGAAAATAAAATGGAATTAAAATAAAATATTTGTATGAATAATTTGATTTAATAGAATTTAATATCATTACATTTAACTTGGTGAGAATTTTTTTTATTTTTTATTTCATACACTTCATATTTTTAATCAATTAAGATTAATGTCTCATTTGTCAACTATACATTTTGACCAAAAAGTTAAAAAGTTACTATAAGTTGCCACATTACTTACTTTATTTTTCTGCATATCTTTTCATAAAAATATCCTATATTTGTTTTAACATTTTGGTTTAGAATTATTAATCCAATGGATAATTAATCCAACAAATTTGTAGGATTATTAGTAATGGGGTAGGGGTGGGATTATTAATCCAATGGATATTAATCCAATTGGATAGTGAATACCACACTAATTTAATAAGATTATTAATACTTCACTATTAATCTTGTGAATCAAACATGACGTTAGTGTAGATAAAGAAGCCTTCAACCACTCTCTCTCTCTCTCTCTCTCTCTCTCTCTCTCTCTCTCTCTCTCTCACAATTATCACACAGTTTGGCATTGGTGCATTACCATATAAAACCACTTCATACCACACAATTCAACCCTATTGGCATCTCAATCACCTCCATTATTGATCATCGGTTCACCACTACATAATAGAAGTGTTAGGTTATACGCTAAGGATAATATTGATATTTTAAAATTTTTAATTGGTGGCATAAGCCAAAAACCGTTAATTGATATAACAGTTAACTAATAAAGGAAAGAATTTGTAATGCAACCCTAACACTGTGTTTGGATTGAGTCATTTGGAGAGAAAAGAAAAGAAATAGAGAGAAATGTATTTCTCTTCCTTGTTTGGTTATCTTAAGTAGAGAGAAATGGGAAGAAA